AAATCGGATAAGGATGAACGGGTTTAAGAGTTTTTAAGAGTTTAAGAGTTTTAAGAGTTTTTTTAAGAGTTTTAGCCAAATGCTTTATAATATAGTATAGATATAGATATAGATGAATAGACGAATTTAAAATGGTTTGGTTATAAGGAATGAATAACAATAAAGGAGAAAGAAGCAGTGACTCCATTATTACCTCTAACCCCAGCATTATTGATCAAGGCATCGATACGTCCAAACGCACTCCATGCCCTTTTCACAGACGCTTCAATGGCGGGACCCTTACCACTCACATCAAGCTCCACCACCACAGCCACTGCTCCAACATCATCATTTCTTCTTATTCCGTTAATCTCCTCGCAGAGGGAAACCAGGCGGTCTCTCCGGCGTGCAGCCGCAACGATCCTACACCCGGCTTTGGCCAAGTCTATACAGAAGCCTCGACCGAGCCCGGAGGAGGCTCCGGTGACCAGCACGACCTTCCCGCTTAGATCATGCCATTGCTCCAATCTGGAAGATACTGTTTGATTGATGGCCATGGAATGGATTGGGTATGAATTTGAGAAAAAATTGGAATTAGGAATGGGTTGGCGTGTATGTGGGCTGGGGCTTATTTATGGAAATGGGAAGGGAACAAGTCACAAGTGCGGTCGTTAGGAAAGCGTAGGCTAAAGTACAAGTGCGAAAGCAGAACAACTAGATTTCTACCCATTATTATTTTATGATTTAATTACTTTTAAAAAATCTTTTATATAAAATAATATTAATTCACTCAATAAAAAAAACTTATTTTCCTATTTTAAAGATTTTTTTATACTTAAAAGTTTTTTTCTATAATTTTTTTTAAAGAACATGATATTAAATTTGTTAGAGCACATAGGAAACAAAACCTTTATTTTATTTATATTAATTAGAGAATTTGTTGAATCTATACTACATTATAAATCATTTGATAAAAACTCTTAAAAACTATTTTTTATGTGTAAAATATTGTTTATTAATGCATATTACTTGAAACTCAAGATTACAAGTAGATTGT